AGCTCCACCATTGGCTTTTTAATGAAGGTGCTTCCACAATTTCTGGACTTTTACTAGTATTACTTTGCAATTGTGCTGTTCCAGATGATTTGTTTCTTCATAGGATTTCTCAAAACATAATACATGATATCCAGTGCTATCATATTGATAACTTCGTATATTTACTATATTCTTACTTTTTTATTGGTCTGAATATCATTTTGAAACTTTCCTATGGTTTTTATGAGATCTATGGTTGAATAACTGGTGGGCACATTAGCTTGTCTTTATAATCATTACATTGTCGCTAGACATTGCGCAGACTAAACTTGGAACAGGCATCAAAAACCACTTTTCAGCTGGGAAAGCCATCTTTTCCTAGTAGATCTTTCGAAACTCGAACTTCATAACTTTTACAAAGCCTTTCACAAAATCACTTCCACAAAATAATCGAAGGAGAAAAAGTGTGTAGAGATTCATTATTCCACACATAATGGATTCACCTGCTCACTTTTACAGCATACCACAGCCTCGCAGTTAGTATGATGGCGGATAAAAATTAGAAGTTCTTTGCAACTTGTGGCGTACCGAATGTGAAAAGGTCTTTACCACTTCTATTTTCTTTTTCTGGATTTCTCTGTACTCATAATCGCTCTTCCATAAGAAAAGAACAGCTATTATATTTGCGAAACACAAAGCTCAGAAGAAATCCTCCGTTCTGCAAGCTAAAACTTGAGAACGCACTGAAAGCTAACCATTACTGAATTTATTGGATAGTTTTCAAAATTATCGTTCCTAAGAAAAGTATAAATTGCCTCAACCAACCCTCCTACAGTTTTGAAACATCTGGATAAAAAACAGACAAGGGAAAGCCAGACTTCAGCTTTTCCCATTTTTATGGTTTTTTCGACTGAATGTATACCAAGCTTTCAATCTATTTTTACCGTAGTATCTCAATGTGCAGAAAGACCAAATATTCGCAAATCGGCAAATATCGGCAAAGTCATCAAGGAAACCATAACTTCTGCGACAATGCAGCACGAATTTACGTTGTTTAATTTACACGTAGTTAGAAAAATTCATCAAATAAACCTAAGGCAATTTAAATTGAGATTTTGTTCAATCCCATATTACTATGCATCCGCAGAGCATTTGCCTACCTACCAGCAATAGCAAGTCCAGAACTTTTAATTTAGAAAAAAAAA